TAAAAAGATTATTTTTTTATTAAATCTTTAAAAGTGTCTGTCTCGAATTCTCTTTTAGGAAAGAGTACAGAATGTCAAAATTGGATGTAAAAACAAGATGTGACTAAGGACAAATGATTGAAAAATTAAGATTAAACCTTGCCGAGGAAATCTTTTGGGAGGGGAAGTGAGAGTTATAAATGTAAAGTTTACAGATGTCATGGAAATAAAGTGATAGAAGAAAACGTTGGAACTTGAAATTCATATCCAAGAGAAACTGATTACTAGGATAAGCATAGAAAAATAAATAATGTGGATAGACCCATCTTCACTTATTACTTTATTCTTTATAAACAAATTAGGTTACTTTTTAAGAAATAAATTCCTTTGTTGATCTGCACACCTAATAATTTTGAAGTTAGAGTTTTATCCATTCATATATTTTCATTACTTTTTTGTATTTGTACATTTGTTTGTTTCAGACATCACTTTTCCATAGAGCCCAGATTGGCCTTGAACTATATTCCTGACTCCCAAATCCTGGGATTATAGGCATATACCACCATGCCAGTTTCTTTGTATTTTAGAATATCTTCTTTTTTAAAAAAAATTATTTGGTTTCTGAGACTGGGTCTCCTGTCTCAAGGCTGGCATTAAACTCATGATCATTTATCTCAGCGTACTGATTGCTGGGATTATAGGTGTGGGCCGCCACATTTGGCTCTCTAAGAGAGGCATCTTTTAAGTTTTAGGGGTCATCCTGAACATTGCTTATTCTGATCATTGTAGTAGCATGGTGTGGTGGAACAAGCCAAAGCCTCTTAGAAGACAGGTATGAGTTTAAATCCAGATTTGGAAATCTGTGGAAGCTTTAATGTCCCCATCTACACAATAATATAAAATATCTATCACTCAGGGAGATGGTAGTTTCTGGGGTTGCTACTAGGTTTAAATGGTATGATGGTATGGGACTTGGAATATAGTAAGTACTTTTGAACTGCTATTTTCCTCTCCAACCGTTTTCTCCAGAATATGCATCAACTTTCTCTGAATCTCATTTCCTTCTATACTTTGTGGGAGTAATATTTACCCCCATCTATTGACTACTTTATAAATATTTGTGCAAGCTGAATTGTGGTGATAAGTAAGGATTTCTGAAAACTAACTACTGTACCTGAATATCTCATGAATTCTACTTCAATTTTTATATTCTACATTAGAATGGCATTTCTAGAAATTTTGTATTTAGGTAACATTTTCAGGAGTCGAAAATCTCTGACTCAGTTTGACAGGCTTATCTCTTTGAACAAAGATGTACTGCTTAATAAAAAAAAAAAACTCCATATGTGACTTTCTTTTGTTTAGTCTTTCTTTTCTGAGATAGGGTATTGTTATGGAGTCTAGGCTAACATTGAACTTGAGAGTCTTTTACCTCAGACTCCCAAATTGGTGGAATTATAAACGTGTGGCCTATATGTGACTTCTTAATCACTGCTTTAAAAAAATGTTACTGCATAGTTGATATACAGAGGGGTTACAGGTACGTGAATCAGGTGATGAGTAATGAGTACAATGCTTTTTGAACCATGTCTCCCCTTCCATGGCTCTCTCCCAGTCTTCCCCTGCATTGGTACCCTTAAGATAGCCAGTTCATTTTCCACATAGTGTCTAGTGAGTGTCACTGTTGTATTTGTTCATCCTTGCTCCACCTTTTTATGTGCCCTGCCTTAGCCTACCAAATACAAAAACTAACAAACAAGCAAAGGGAAAGAAAAGAAAAACAGCAACAATTGCAACTAAAGAATGTCTCTTATTTCCTTTCCTTGGAGTTTATCTCATAGGATATTATTCTATGTGATCATCTATACATAGATATTGAGCCTTGTCCTCCATTCCTATGTATAGCCTCCTTTGACCTCTGTATGCTAATGACTAGAGTCCTATATAGTTTATCATGTCCTAGCATTATTTATTTCAGTTATTCAGTGTGTTTACTTGTAGATTTATAGATGCCAGAAATGAAGGAAAACATGCAACCTATGTTTCTTTGGTTCTGGCTTACTTTACTTAATATAATTTAGTCCAGATGAATTAAATAAGCAAACTAAGGATACAGGAAAGGTACTGTGTATATACAACAAAAGAAAAGAAATTTCAAAAAACGAGGTAGCTGGAATCAAATTATCCCCTCAATACAGATATCATTGATTTTCAACATAAATGTGTGTCTGTATGCGAAATATATACATATTATAGACATGTGCATAATGTGTGTATGAATGCTATATACATTTACATACACATACATAAACATACATGTAGGTTTTTCCATTTCCTTGGGTACCCAAATGAAACAAGGATATTTTATTTCTGGAATTCAGAAGTGCCACTGTTGGGATCACTAAACTCTCCCTCTGAAGGCAATGCTATTAGCTTGAGGTTTGAACTGAGTCAGTTCAGGCTTGATCTGCTAATTTTATTGATCTTTAATGGGGCCTTGGTCTTAATCCTGTACAGAAATAGCATCAAAGGGACTCAGACTTAGGAGTCAGATGCCAGCAAAAGGAAAAGTAGCTTATATCGTAGCAAAAACTGCTAGCACGTAATTTTTTAGATTTGTTGAATTATTTTTTGCTTGCTCTTAGTCCTTAAATATAATGTTCAAACTGTTCTGAGTGATTGGGGAAATTGTGTTTCCAACATAGCAGCAGAAGCTGGGGAATAAGATGAGCTGTCCTCTTCCCTGAAGTGTGACAATAGAGAAGGCAGAGGCCACTGCTGGAGAAGGATCATCCGCTCAGCAAGAAAAGCCAGCACAGGGCATCACATTTTCTCTGACGGGGATGCATAGTAACTATCTGGCTGCCAGACTCCTGTGTGTGCATCAGATATTACATGCTGTCAAGCTTTCATGGGAGGGGGCTGATCCACTGTCCCCTGGATCAACAAGCTGTGTCCGTGTGCACAGCTGAAAAAGCATGTGGATACATTCACCCTGTTCTAACTGCAGCATTTACAGCCTAAAGATGAAGAGAGGGGTTCTGTGGACAATGGCCAGGCGGCAGAACTCTGGACCAAACATTCGTGGCCCCAGCCCTGACAACAGCTTCATCTTTCCAGTGCACATGGGTACCATATTGCCTTTTGGATTGTAAGCTTATTAAGGGAGTGTAATGTTTGTACTATTCCCCAAATCCCTGTCATATACCCCAAGGAAACGATTTTGGAACATCTATGGTTTGGTGGAAGGACTGATTGCCTTTGTCCTTACTAGGTTTGAGAATACATTTGCATTGAACAGCCTTAGTGCCCTGTGGCTATCATGATAAATTACCACAAACTTGGTAGCTTACTGCAACAGAAATTTCATCTTTTACAGTTCTGGAAGCCAGATGTCCAAAGTCAGAGTTACTATGCTGAAATCTGGTGCCAGCAGGGCTGCACTCCTTGCAGGAGAAAATTCTCCCTTTGTTTCTTCATAGTGTGGTGACCATCAGCATTCTTTGGCTTGTAGCTACATCACTCCAATATTTAAGTATTTAAATATCTGCTCAACTCAGCCTATACCCTCTTGCTATCACCTTTTCCTTTGTATGTGCTTTTTTTCTCTGCTCTCCCCCTCCAACCCCAGGCCTGCTCCTCCTAAAGACACCTGTGATATTATTTAGAGCTTTCTTTGATCATTGGGAGACTGACTTCAAAAATGAAATGCTATGGTTTTAAGAGGATAGCCAGCCCAACAGAGGCGGAGTTTTGAAGAATGAGGTGGCACCAGGCATCAGTGCAGTGGCTGCTGTCTAACCACAGAGACTCATTAGCTCTGAAACAGCACGTGGAAGCCCAAGAACTCTGTAGAAGAGTAACTAGAGACTCTCTTTCCTGGCTTGTCTTCCCTGAGAAGGCCACATAACTAAAATTATATACAAAAGCAACTGCAATTCTAAGTTTCCTTTAATGCTTCTCAGAAAAAGAGGTATAGGAAGAGCTGTAGTAAGGTGAAGTAACTGTGGCAGTTCTGTCCTGCTTCAATGGGGGTGGAGTCCATTTGGACCTTACCCCCCATATGTGTGTGCATGCGCGCACGCACACACACACACACACACACACACACACACACACACACACACACACCTTCTTGCTCAGAAGAAACCATGGAATAAGATAGTCCAAATCTTTGAACTCAGATGAGAATAGCCTAGCCTTTAATGTTCTCATGAACATCACCCTGGGACATAGTCTTAGCATAGAAGCATACACACCATCTTTGTGAGAAGTACTCCTCTGTGAGAAGCAACTGTCCTCAAAGTTCAACACAGATTCTGATAACGTAGCTGCAGAACTTTCTTGTGGTTTTCTGGGTATTTACGCTAATAACAAAGCCCACTGTCCTCCATTATCACTGAGCTCTGGGCTCCTATTAAATTAAGGCATCAGGGTTGGTTCCAGATCTTAGCTATGGTAAATAATGCTGCAATAAACATAGTTGTGCTGCTAGCTTTAGTATGGTCTTGTTTGTGATCATTTGGGTAAATGGCCAAAAGTGGGATTGCTGAGTCATAGGGGACTCTATGTGGAGTCTTTTGATGAACCTCCATACTGCTTTCCAAAGTGGTTGCACAAGTTTACACTCCCACTAACAATGAAGTAAGGTTCCCTTCTGCCCACATCCCCTCCAGCATCTGTTGTTATTAGAGTTCTTGATTACAGCCATTCTAACTGGGGTGAGGTGGTATCTCAACATTGTTTTGATTTGCATTTCTTTTATGGCTAGAGAGGTTGAGCATTCCGAACTTTACAACTTTGGTGTGTGTGTGGTGGGGAGGACCGGGTAGAGGGAGAGGGGGAGTATGGGAAGGGATGGGAATGGGAAACAAAGAGGAGGCAACAATGCTTGATAAGAAATGTACTCATTATATTGCCCATTTAATTGTAACTCCTCTGTACTGTAGTCTCACAATATAAAAATAAAATAAAAAAATTAAGGTATCACTTTAGGCGGCATACATGCTGTTAGTGCTTACCTGGGTGGACAGTCTTTTTCATAGCACTTCTTCTGTCTCCCATTGGGCTGTGTTTCTGGGTCACAGAATGTAGCCTTCACCAAGCCATGACCCTTCTTCACACATTGGGCTGTCTGGCGGCGGATCCCTGCGGTCAGACAGAAAGATCCACATGCATTAAATCCTAAACCACATACTCATTATTAGGAAAGACCCCTGATCATGTCATGCAAACATTCTTATAACTTAAAGGACAGTTTAGTGAGTGAGTAGAGGAAGTAGACAACTTTATATTAGCTGGGGTTGGCAAACTCTGAATGGTTGTGTGGAAAAGCATTCAGAACAATGGTGCAAGGCTTGAGATGTAATGAGCAGCAGGAATGAATAACCCTATTGTCTTTGGAGACAAAATAAATAAAATGAGAGAAGCATAGAGCAAACAAAGTTTGTCCTAGAAACAGTTCTATGCAGTGTGCACATTGATATATAATCTAAATAGCATAGTCTGTTATTTATTACTATGTACAATAACCCAAATCTCACAACAGATGCAGAAATTTGATAGATGAAGCAACTCAAACACTGTTACGTTATATAGAGTGAAAAGGCGAAAGAACCAATGGCCATCATTTAAAATGGACATCATTTGAAAGAGAACATATAGGGCACTCAGAATGTTGCAGACTGCAAGATAAGGGAACAGAAAGGGCTGTCAAATGACTTGGATGTCAAATGTGAAGTGGTGGGTTGGAACGTGAAAGACTGAGATGGTTGGAGGAGCAGAGCCTTAGCAGTACAAAGGCTGACAGCCTGAACTGTAAATGCATTTGGACCTCCATGCAGTGCTGGACATCAAACCCAGGACCTGGCACATGCTAGGCAAATAGCTCTACCACTGAGTTTACGTGCTCAGCCCCCATTTCCAGATATTGAGAGGACTTGCTAGTGTAAATTATTTCACAACTGGAAAAGTCCCAAGAATCCCAGTAAGATGTCCCTCACTTTACTGCCAAGCACTCTGAGGAGCTTTTCTACATAGCTGCTAGGACCTTTCTGGAGCCATATCCTCCTATCTCCCATCACCTCCCACTGCCTCAGAACCATCTTGCTCAGTCCAATCTTCCCAGGGCAAGCCTTCCTCCTATCTAGACCAGCTAGAGCTGGTCTCTGGCTACTCTTAAAGATGCTGTGTGTAGGTGCTTGAGTTCATAGTTCCAGATGAGACCAGCTCAAGTGCTTATCCATGTGAAGAAACCCACCTCCAGATGGCTCCAGACCCCAGGCTTTTGATTCATTCCTATTGAAGTCACTCAGCCATCCTAGCTGAGGTGTTAAGCCTAGTGGACCGGCATCACGCCCCCTTAGTGACCCTCTCTGAATTTCTGACTCACAACATCTGTGAGCATGAAAAAGTGACAATTGTTTTACTGTTACTAAATTTGGCTAGTTTATCATTCATAGAGAAGGAATATCACTCAGTGAATGTTAGTTTTCTTCCTTTCCTTGTCCAAGACCTAGACCTGCCATTCACCTTGGCTTGCAATAGTTTACCCAGTACTGATTGCAGTTCTTTATTCCCTCCAAACCTATTCTGCCCTATTTTCCCTACTCTGTGTTCAAGCTTTGGCCGGACTCCTGTGAGTTGCTCTGGTTTCTGGATAGGTTTGGGAAGTGGAACACTACCTCTTTGTTTAATGTTTCTTCTCATTATTATTTCTATTATTATTATTATTAGATCTTGCAGATTTTTAGATTGTTATTATAAAAGTGATGCACTCCCCTTAATTCTTTAGGCTGAGAGCTGGTGGGCCTTGTTCTCTTGTTAGTGGACAGGACCTTTCTTGGTTTCCTAAACCCCACACATTCCTGTGAAATTAGCCAAAATAGTCAGTTTGGGTATGTACCTGTTTTGTTGGTGGGGCCCCCCTTTGAGTGATAATACTTCCTTTGAAGTTTTTTTTTAATCTCTCTTAGCTATTAATCTTCAGTGATATACTTACTGAAAGCCAGTTGTTTGAACAACAGAATTTTCCTTTAATGTAGGTTATTGGAACATCTCTAATAGGGGTTCCTTTTAAGAGCAGCTATGATTATGGAACACTGCAAAATGAAGACATATACAAGACTGAGCTAAAATGATGTGACTTTGATCTTTCACTGGAAGTTAAAAAAAGAACATTGATATTGATTTTTTTCTTTTGGCCTGCAATTTGTCTCCATTTTTGTGAAAACTGGACACACCCCCCAAAGAAATTCTAGTTAATTTAGGATGCGAGTCAATCAATATATTGTCCTAAAAACGAAGCTAACTTGCTCATCTGAAAAAGCTTACTTGAGAAATGCTACTTCTAAATCAGAAATCAGTCACAGAAACTATATGGGAATCAAATTCAAAATGCTACTTCTGTGTGTGTGCTTGTGTGTGTGTGTGTGTGTACACTTGGGCTTGAACACAGGGTCTTGGATTCTCACTTACATTCTGAAAGACTAGTTACTTCCATGAGGTTCTGAATACCTTTCTCTAAGTGCTGGTGAGAATATCATTTTGTGGCTGTAAGGATTTGATAAATCTTATTGAATATCAGCAGTGAAAGGCTGACCAATTTCCCTGACATAGAAAAATGCACAAATGCTCCAAACCTGGTCATCGTCAGTGGAAATTGCCCCTTAACAGTAGAAACAAGTAAAGCTCCTCATGTGAAAAAGCACACAAACAATGGCATAGATCATCATATTCCCAGTTCAATACTGAGATTATAAAGTAGGGGGCATCTTTTATATTGTTCATTTTGTTCATGAAAGATGGTTCTTATTTCAAAAGTTCAGTTAAGGAAGGCATATATACATAAAACAATGAAAACCTTAGCTTATTATAATTATTTATGGCAAAAGCACAGTGTTTGGATTGTATCTAAACGAGACAAAGACATTCAAGCCATCAATTAAATGACTATTTAATTGCATTATTTGAAGAGTTGTCTATGTAGGTTTTAAATACTAAGATCTCTTGTTTGCATACATCTAAGTGACAATTATATCTGTACAAGATAAATTTCACATTAACATATCCATTATAATTCCTCTAAAACTGGACATCACATTGATTTTAATAATGTAAAATGTCAACAGTTTTGTGAATCAATAACTTGCTACTAGCTACACATAAATACACAGAATTGCCATTCACTTCACAGGACAAACAATGGAGTGGGAGTTGTATAGCCATCATATTGTACGTGATATACCCTAAGTCTTGACACAATGCTCAATATGAAGCAGGCCTTTCCAAATCTGAAGCCTCTTTGTAATTAATTCATTCACTCACAGGGTATTAACTCCATACATGTTGTGCAATCAGGGTTGACTTCACATTTTTAAAGTGTGAAGAGAGAAAATTCAATGTACCTAGTCCACCATAACCTTTGTTTTCCTACTGATGTGATGTGACATCCTTCCCTTAAAATGCAGTTTCCTGTAAAACTCACAGTTCCACAATTCATTTTTTCCAGGCTCAGAAACACTTCTCTGAATTCACATTGAGTTTAGAGATGACAAGTATTGATCCAACAGGAGTTAATATAGTTTGATTTTATCATTAGTCACTGCTAAACACATACATCTCACAAGCTCACAAAAACTCAAAGCCAATAGTATATTTTCCCCAAATGCCAATGAAATGATTACATAAATTCATAAATTGATTGCTATGGTAGAGGTAACATAAGGTATTATATTAAAAATGCTTGAACAATGCTGTTGCTTTTGTTGAAAGGATACTCAATAATACTAAAGGAAAATGGTCCTGCCTCAGGACCATTGCTCATGTAGCATTCTGAAACTTTATCACAGTGAAGCAGGTCTCCATCCTTATTATGCTTCTCCTTGTGCAATCGCTGTGTACAAGTCAGGAAAGGCACACAATTAATGAAACCCAGAGGCCTGGAAGCTTCTCTTAACATTCCGGGATAATGGGAAAAACAGTCAGCATTCACAGAATATATTGAGCCAAGAAAATCGTCCTGAAATTCAACTGAGAAATTCCAAGAGCCATTAGATAACTAAACTAAGAACCTATGAATAAGAAAGGGCTAATCTCTGCTGGCTGCATAGGGTAAAAATAGGGTGGTATGTAGAAGACCAACAGAATTAGACCATTAGACTATCCAATGTGTAGCCTACAAAATTAAGAAGAGTGAGGGAAGGTGGGGGAAGAGGAAGCATGGGTGACAATGCTGAAAGGGATGACATTGTTGGTCAAGATATAGTGTATTCATAAACTGCTTTGTTCTGCAGCAACTCCTATGTGCAATTACTTAAATATAATGATAAAATCAATAAAACATTGAAAAAAAAGACTATTAGACCAGCCACCTTGCTAACAGTTCCCTGTTCAATAGTAAAGTACAGCTGAATATTGTGTATTGCTTTTAGCTTATTTTATGTTTTATGTGTACTGTAAACTATATAGCCTTCATTTTATGGCTTACATCATATGTCATACTCCTATTATCTTTTTGATACTCCTATTATCTTTAACATTAAAAGTATATTCTATTTTTTGCTACAGATAAATATCTGTTGGTCTTACCAGACCGTAAATTTTGACAAAGTCAAATGGCTTGGGACCAACATGCGAGCAATTTGAGAAAGTCAGGGAAGTACTTTATTCTGATTTTCCAAGAAGGGGATTCTATCCTATATGGTCATCCATCAAGGGTAGCATAGAATATGTTGGCCTATTTACATTCTCACAGTTGGTCAGGGCTAACTGTACCTATCTCACACATGCTTACACTCAGCTTTATGTAAACTCTGTATCTAGTAGTTTCAGAAAATACAACTGTTGCTTTGGGCTTTTTCCAATTAAGCAACCTATTTTAAATGTCAGCTTTAAAGAACAATCTGAACTATCCGCAGGAATATTTATGGTCATGGAGTTTTCAGTATTTGCTCCTTCCTATCAGAACATGACATTCTTGGAACAAAGGGATCATGACTAATCTCTGGAGAGAATTCAGCCAAATGGGGTAGAGGGAAAGCTGAATCCCAGGGCAGGGCAGGGAAGGGGAAAGTCTTCTCCCTTTTCCATTGGGTACTGTAAGACCAACAGGCCCTCAAATGCCAAACTGAGCAAAGGTCATGTTCAGAAGAAATGAGCTGTTTTTTTAAACAATGATGCCATTGCTAGGACTTTTCCAGGATACAGGAAATTTTGACTAGGATGCTGCAACACTAACGCTGCAAGAAGCAGCTTTTATATTACTGTGAAATAAATATCAGTACTTATTATACCTAAAATAACCAGCATTGGATATATCATCAACACCACAAAAGAAAAGTCTAGAACAGCTCCATACCTATACACAAATTAGGTACGTGCTAATGAAGAGGGGCTGTCCTAGTCATTGGTATGGTTGGAATAACTGAATATTCATAAAAGAATGATGAATGATCATAATATATTACACCACACACAACAGTAAATTTCAGTGGCCTAAACGTCCTATGTGAAACTAAAAATTTTATCACTTTTAGAAGAAAACACAAGTCCTACCTTTATACACTAGCCATAAGAATTTTTTGTCAACATTAAGACAAATATCAAAAACAAAAAACAAAAAGAATTTTTTTTTTTTTTTGGGTCCGGTCGTGGGGCCTGAACTCTGGGCCTGGGCGCTGTCCCTCAGCTTTTCAGCTCAAGGCTAGCGCTCTACCACTTGAGCCACAGCACCACTTCCGGCTTTTTTCTTTTTGCTTATATGGTGCTGAGGAATCGAACCCAGGGCCTCGAGCATGCAAGGCAAGCGCTCTACCACTGAGCCACCTTCCCAGCCCCAGCAAAAAGAAATTTTGATTTTAAAGTTCATTACATTAAAATTTAAGAGTTCTATTTATCATGGGTTCAGCTTAATAAAAAGAAGACAATGTAAACAAAGTTAAAGACAGTGCACAGGATTATGATTTTTTTGTTTAAAGTAACCTGAAGTTGTTTCTAATTTTCATAGTGTCTCTAGACCAAATAAGTCATCTCACAAAAGTATTTTACTGTTCCATTTATTAAACAGTTTGATCCTAAGTTAATAAGCACTCATGGCTTAACAACTTAGTAGCAAATCTGGAAAAAAGAAATAAAGACAGAAATTAAAGACAAGCTACTGTTTTAATTCCATTTTAAACTAACTTATTAGTGAAATATGTGTAGCTACTGGAAACCAAACTTACCAAACTTTCCAAGCTTTGGAATGAGATGAGAAGCTAATGTATTTCCCGTTCTGCACTGATTTTTCAGGTAGCATTTAATTTTTAAATAGTAACTGCCATTGAAAACTCAGTATCACAAAGTAGAATGTGATGGGCCTACTCTTGAAACTATGAAGTACACTGAGCCACTAGCCCATATCCCCAAGATGTTACCCTCCCGCTGCCCCCTCCAGATATTTAAAATATTCCACAGCATCCCCAGGAGTTCCTAGATTCATTTATACAATATGTACAGACTATTTGACCCAGCAATTCTATTGTAGGTAGACTGCTAAGGAAGCTTAATAATTGTGTTACTATGACACCATTATAAACAAAATTAAAATTCATTCAATTTTCAAAATTTCATGCAGAAATGTTTATAACTCAAAAAGGACAGAATGTATAGATAAATTGTGATATATTCATATAAGGTAATAGTATGCAATCCTTAAAATGAATGTATTAGTGCTACTTTCTTTTGTGTGCCAATCCTGTGGTTGAGCTCAGAGCCTACACACTATCCCTGAGCTTTTATTCTCAAAGCTAGTGTTCTAACACTTAAACCACAGCCTCACTCCACTCCTGTTTTTTTTTGAGGGTTTTTTTTGGAGGTTTTTTGGTGGTTAATTGGAGATATGCATCTCATGGACTTTCCTTCCCAAGTTGGCTTTGAACTGTGATCCTCAGAAATCAACCACCTGAGTAGCTATGATTACACATGTGAGCCACTGGCACCTGATATTAGAGCTACTTTTATCAGTGTAGGTTTGTCCTAAAAGCATAATATTGGGTAAACAAAGCAAGAATAATGCTTTATTATGATACAACTTATATAATGGCTGAATGCTTAAGTATTATAAAACGCCTGTGGCTATAGACATGTATGGTGCTGGGGATGTAGCTCAGTGATAGAGTGTTTGCCTAGCATGTGTGAGGCCCTGGGTTCGAGCCCCAGCACTGAAGAAAAGAAACAAACAGAATGGTTGAATTGGCATATTTTTGTACCATCATAATAGACATGGTGGTACATTCCTGTTATCCCAGCATGAGGCGGGGTGGGGTGGGAGAATTAGAAAACTATTCTAAGTAGGAGAAAACATGTACATCTATTAATTTTTTTAAAAGCACATTGAAAAAATAAGGAACCTATCAAAGTGCATGTGTAAAGGTACCAATTTTCTCTCTCTCTGTCTCTCTGTCTCTCTGTCTCTCTTTTGTCAGTTGTGGGGCTTGGGCACTGTCTCTGAGCTCTTCAGCTCAAAGCGAGTGCTCTACCACTTGAGTCACAGTACCACTTCCAGTGTTTTGGTGGTTAACTGGAGATAAGAGTCTCACAAACTTTCCTGAGCAAGCTGGCTTTGAAATGTGATCCTCAGGTCTCAGCCTCCTGAGTAGCTAGGATTACAGGCGGGAGCCACCAGCACCTGGCTCTTTCTCATTTTTTAAAAGTGTTTAGATAAAACTTACTTTTATAATAATGTAGGAAGTTTTCTATATTATGTGCTAAGCAATCTTCCATCTTTATATTTAGCAATGTGTGTCCTGAGTAAATATTAGCATGTATTCATCCTTTATGTTTGGAAGTATTAAAGTAGGCTTGCTGTCCTTTTCTCTGCCAGTGCAAGAGAACTCACTCCAACTCCAACAGGGTGAGGTTGAGGAGCTAATGCCAACCCTCCAATTATTCATTCCCATTCAGGACTAATAAGCAGAAAAACATTTACCCAGGCTGTAACAAAACCAAATGCATCATTCACATTGGTTAATGATGTTCAGTCTCTCTTTCGAGACCCAGCTACGAATATCTTTAGTACAGTGTTCTTGCATTTTACACATGATCACAGAGTTGATCCTATCTTCAAATAGAAAAGGTGAGGAAATGCTTCCTGGTTTCTGTGAGGAGTCCCTGCCTAGTTAGCATTGCTTAAGTATCTTCACTCCTGGATTGCACCTTCAACTTGACTTAACCCTAAATATGCACTTTGCTTCAAGATGAGAAAAAAGGGTGGGGTCATCAATGGAAAACACTATTTTAACTACATTCACAATGACTTCATTTTCCTCATAACTGCTTTTCAGGGAAGTTTTTACCTTTGCTTCTCTGGGAGCCCAGACCTTCTGGCAATGGACCAGGCTAAGGGGTGGGGAGGCTGTACATTCCTGGCTAGCATGGCTAGGAATCACAGGGCCAACTCTCCATTCAATGCCACTTACAACCAGAGTGTGTACACCTTTGACCTAGATAGATTTCTAGGAGTTTAGCATTGTCTTTTCCTAAGGTACAGACTCAAACTCAGTACCAGACATTTTCATTCATTGGCTGGTGCTCTACCCCCTGAAACGTGCCCAGTCACATTTTTGGGTTTTTTGTCAGTTGTGGGACTTGAACTCTAGGCCTGAGCACTGTCCCTGAGCTCTTCAGCTCAAAGCGAGCACTCTACCACTTGAGCCACAGTGCCACTTCCACTTTTGTGTTAGTTAATTGAAGACAAGAGTCCTACAGACATTCCTGCCTGGGCTGGCTTTGAACTGGGACCCTCAGATCTCAGCCCCTGAGTAGCTAGGATTGAGTAGTAGGCTTGAGCCACTGGCACCTAGCTCCCAGTCATGTTTTAAAATGGATATTTTAGTTGGAGGAATTCTACAAGCAAAACTTTGTTTTCTTTGCTGAATTGGGGGACAAAGGAAGCTAACGATATAAAAATGGTTTACCAAGGTCACTGGACTTTGTCCAGGACTCTCTCCTGAGGTGGAGAAGCTCATGCAAGGGAGAGGGAACCCCCAGAGGAGCGGCTGAGCGTCTGGCCTGTTCATCCTTCACTTTTCTTCTTTTGCTGAGCCACACATTCTAGTTCTCCACTCTCTGCTTAGTTTTGCAGACAGGAGATGAAACAGAATCAAGCCTGGTCAAAGGGAAGAACAGAGGCAGAAGCCTCCACATACAATTATTGTTAAAGTCCCTCATGTGAGTGAATGCCTTCAGCACCCACTAGGCCTGATCTCCACTTCACAGGCCTTGGGAAAGGTCATCCAGCACTGCACAGAGCCAGCCTGCATTAGCCAAATTTCTTCAAGCTCCTCCATCATCCCCAGACTCTTTGCTATGCAATGGTGCCCCAGTGACTAAGGCCAACCAATGAGATGCAAGCAGAAATGCCTTTCCCCTTAAGCCACACTCCCAGGCCATCTCTGTGAGACACCATACATCCGTAGGCACAGGGAGTAAACCACTCGCCCACTCTGCGCTGGTATGGTAACTACAGGTGGTTCTCACCTGTCCCACAGGTAACACTGCATTCTGTCCAGCGGCCGAACTGCCAGAAGTACATCAACTTCTCCACATCATTGTCGAGGCCATCTTTTCGGATTGTGTATTCATATTTGATGCCAGGGTTTGTTACCTGGAATAACAGCTAAGAAAGCAAGAGAGGGGTCATGTCCACATCTGTCATGGGTTTAGGTTAAACCATACTCATTGTGTCATAGGCATGATATCATACTTATCATCTAAAATGATTTGAGGAGCATTCATCAGAATAAATACCATTAGGTGCATCAGCATCTGTCTAAATTTATGCTTCTATCTCTCTCACTACTCAGGAGGTGTAAAATCTCAGGACTGTGGGTTGAAGCCAGCCAGGAGGAAAGTCTGTGAGAGGTTTTTAAAAAATTGATTTGGACCAGGCACTGGTGGCTCACACCTGTAATCCTCATTACTCAGGAGGCCAAGATCTGAGACTCATGGTTCAAAGCCAGTCCAATTAACTGCTCAAAAACTGTAAGTGGTGCTGTGGCTCACGTAGAGCACTAGCCTTGAGCACAAAGAAGTTCAGGGACAGAGCCCAGATCCCAAGTTCAAGCCACACACACACACACACACACACACACACACACACACACACACACACACACACACCACACCCCACCCCACACACATTATTTGTTCTTTGTGTGGTAATGAGGACTTGAATCCAGGGTTTAATGCATAGCTAGGCATGCATTCTACCATGAAACCACATTCCCAGCCTTACTAAGCCACATTCCCAGCCCTCCTATCTCTCCATATAGCTGCGGTGTTATTGCTTGGCTTATTTCCCATGTGAATTTCCATTCCTATAAATAGGGAGGTCAAGTTATATGAATATTTCTCTGAGGGGCTGGCAAAGAGTGTGTCCTTTCTAACAACTAGCAGGCAGGACATTCTGGTCCTTTCTGCACTACCTCTTTGAATACAGGTATGTGCACTTGTTTTACCATGGACAGAATGAGGATAAAGAAGACTTTTCTATTGGGGTGCTTGTGAGAGCTAAAGGAGTAAGTACATAAAGTGATTGGAATGTGACATGAGGTTCACAATCAACATTAACTTACTTCACGTTTGTTGTTGTCTTACGATAACCTTTCTCTAGTTCTCAAGCTGTTAGTTTCTTTCACACATAGTAGTTCTGATATAAAAATGGTCTTGAGTTGTAGCTAAAGGGTGCCATTCCTGGGATCTTCCATTATCTTCCTTCTCCTATAGGCCATCTACTTTCCAGTGTTTAAAATGGATTCGTTGCAAGTGTAGAGATGGTGGTTGGCTGCTTCCTCCTGTCTAACGATATTTATAGACCATAGCTGCTGCCTTTGTCCTGACCTCCCCTCCCCCACCAGCTTCCATGAGCACTCTGACCTCCGGCCCTGAAATAACCTTGCTCTGATTTTGAATGCAGGTGTATGTGACTCCTGCTACCTGTCTTTCCCAACTCATCTTATGTCTACCAAAATATAACTATTCCATCCTTTTCTGAAGTTCTATGCCTAATGTGAATGACAATGCCCTTGTGCCTTTGAAAAGCACATACTGTACCCTAAATCTTCCTTCCGAGGGGTTTTACAAAGGCAAATCCCCTTTGCTGAGGATAATTATGGAGGGGAGGCATGTTAGTTTATCTCCACTGCTGGGAAGCTACTGGAAAACATACCACACTGACAATTGGCTGAGTGAACTCTTTGTACACCTGAGGAATCATGACCGTGAAATAAATGAGTCTGGAAATGAAACTCAAACCTCCCAATGGGTGGTTTTGGAGGCTTTGGCATTTTGTTTCAGGAGTTTCAACTGTTTCTGGACAATTAATGGTAAACAAGAGCAATATCTCACTCCATTCCTATTCTTTGCTGAAAGAAGTTTTCATGATTCTTACTGAATATCTCTGAGAAAATGCCTTGAAGTGGAAATGAGGAAGATTCAAAGTAGGGTATTTTTCTCTCATGTCCTTTCTTTAGCCATTACCTGGATCCAAACTGACTCATTGGTGGGGCCGGGGGCCATCAGTTTCTCCAGGTCTCCTTTCCTGTCATACTGGAAGACCGTCCCTGCCAGCTTATAGTTCCCATTCCATTGGATGATAAATCCGCCATTGAGATAATGTTTTTCTGGGTCTTCACTTCTGATGGCCAGGAAGTTTCCAGCTGCCTTGATTTCCATTATCCTGATGTCTCTTGCTCCTTTGGGAATGAGCCCAATGTCGACGTAACCTAAGAACAGAAGAGACAAATGAAGAAAGGTCCTCTAGCTTCTCAGCTGAGCACAGTTTCTGAGCCATGACTGCATCTCATCCTTTAGATGTCCATGATGGTCACTGGGATTGGCAAATGCTCTTAATTAGGGGAAATCTAAAAAGAGATTTGGTTGAGGGCAGAGTTCTCAGGAACTTCCTAACTCAGTGTGTGAACAGTTTTGTGAGGAGAGGGGAAACAAAACCACATGAGACTCTGAAGTATGTGCGGTTGATCCAGAATTTTTGTTCCTGTGATTTTATGTTAACAGTTAGAAAGGTTAGAGCTCCCAGCTTGCTTCCTGATACCATTCTCCCTCCCTAATTTGCTGTTGCTATGGTTAGTTTTTCTAAGCATTGTACCGGATGCATATTTTTCCTCCTCCCCATCACCAATGGATTGAAAACGGATTCTTAGAGGGAATTCAATCCTGGCATACATTTATTAAGAAAATTCTGGGGAGAACCTTGGGTTGATTGCCACCTGGCTTGCTTGAATAGAGTCCATGATGAGAAACTCAATTCTGAGCACAGCCTTTGGATAGTTGGAAAAGTCTATTCATTTAAAAGGATGTTTTCTCCCTTTGTTTTCCCCCTTTGTGATTTGCTACAATATGAATTTGTAATTTGTTTTCCTCTGTTCTCATCTAGCCTTCTGGGGAAAAAAGCATGTGTGGATATCCATTTTACAGCAACGATCAGCTCTGGCTACAGTCATGGCCTTGCTTACGGCTTGTCACTGTCGGAGGCAAACTGGTGAAAATGAATTAACACTTAAGGCTTGTGTCTGTCAGGTTGTATGCGAGAAATTTTATGCTCTTATGGTATGAATACTTGTGAAAAACAAGGCTTCATAGATTGGACTTTGAGTGGCCTTCTGAAAGAAGCTCTGGGCAGAAGAATCAGACTTGAACTATGCTTTCAGTATTGCCAGGAACTAGTTCTGTAACTGTCATGGATTCATTGGGTTCCTTTGAATGTCATCTGCAAAGTATGGAGACTAGAATGATGTCTTTTGAGGGAGCATTGAAGCAATTTTGTCTCTTTTGGGCTCTGCTACTCAGAAGTTTTAATCTTTTCTTTTCCATTTTTAATTAACTAATTAATTTAGCAGTGCTAGGGATAGAACCCATGGCTTAATGCCTGCTAGGTAAGTGCTCTCTACCACTGAGGTACATATTGCAGCCCAATAAACAAGACTTAGCACGGTCCAAACCTATACAATTTGACACACATTGTGGCGTGGGGTTGTTTGTTTTGTTTTTATGTGGTGGTTTTTGAGACTGTCTCACTTGTAGTTAGGCTGACCTTGAAGGGTGATCATCTTGCCTCCATCTCCCATGGGCTGCTATTACAATGATAAGTTTTGTTGTTGTTTTCTTTCTCTTTGTCTCTCTTTTCTTTCTCCATGTCTTTATTCTTTTTCCTTCTTCCTTTTTCTTTTGAGACAGGGTCTTACTATGCTGCTTTTGTTGCTCAAGCTGGCCTCCAAGTACTGCACTACCTCCAAGACTACCTACCTCACTCAGTGTCTTGAAGAGATGGGATCATAGGAATGTGCACATGCCCAGATTCAATTGGACATATTTTAGTGAAATTCAATGTTTGTGAATTATGAATTAATTTAACTCTTGTTTTAGCATAAATGGTGCAAACCATAAAAGCTTAAAACACAAAGAACAACAATTGTCAGAATTAGCAGGAGAAACAGTTTAACAATAACAGCTGGAGATTTTACTATCTCCTCTTCTTCCTCCCACTCATCCCCTTCTTCATCCTTATTAATACCCTCCTCCTCCTCCTCCTCCTCTTTGAGATTGTTTTCTTGCCTCAAGAAGACGATCAAGGCTGGCCTCAAATTCTTGATCCTCCTGTCTCAACCTCCCAAGTGTTAGGATTATACATACCATATCTAGTTTAAAATTTTGCTCTCCACAAGCTAATCATTCTTTTATTCCTTTAATGTTTTTCACACAAAATATGGTCTTTATTTCCTACTGGAAATGCGTTCATTTTTTTCTTATAAGAAAGACACTTGTTAAGCTTTGGAATATGAAACGTCCTCACAGGCTCGTGTATGGGGGGACTTGGTTGTTTTGGAGAAGTAACTGGATCCTAACAGCTGGGACCTAATCAGTAGGTGGACCCCTTTAGTGACTCATACTATACAGCACTTTTGGTATGTGGTGAAAAGTATAAGTGGGCTGCTAGAAGTAAGTCCTTGGGGGTTTGCCCTGGAATCATGCCCCTTGTCCCTTGTCCCTCTTCTTTCCCTGAATTCTGGTGGTTAGGAGGTAAGTAACCTTTTCCAACTCATTCAATTTTCACAGAGAAACAATTGAGCAAAGACATAATCTTACACTGATTTCTTTCGGGTGTTTGCCATTGCTATGCAGAAGTCCTACTAACTCAAATCTCATCTCTCATCTCTAAAAGTTCCATTTTTCCTGTCACCAAGCAGTACAGATCCTGAAAGTCAAAATCAGGTTTTGCCAACAAGAATGACTTGCTCAGAAACTCCAACCAGTCCATAATCTCAGCTTCAGTCTTTAAACATGACAGCACCTATCCAGAGGTACCAAAGGTAAGTCTTTTTAGCATTCAACTAAATTTTATTTGGCTCTCATATGCTTTGGTCAAAACAGCTGCCACAAATATAGAACTCAGGAAAAATATCTATCTCACTCAATTAAAGAACACGCAATTTAAAAATACCTTTGAGGTATTGCTATCTGAAAACATTTTCTGACTTAGAAGGTTGCAAGCCTTATGGCAGGACTCATGCTGGGAAATAAAATGATATTAAATATTGTGCCTACCAACCTACTCTTTGCTTTGAAGAACAAGAAAATTGAGGAAAAAAAGGTTCACTTTTATGTTTACATGTGAGAGAGAAAATTACAAGTTGTAAATATTTATCATGGGTGGATTGAAAGAGAAGCGCATTAAATTTAAAATAGAACTTTTATTTCCTTTATGGGCAGAGGTGTTGAGTATTTATATGTATATTGGCCATTTATACTTCTACTTTTCAGAAGTCTCTATTTAGCCATTTATTAATTTTATTATTTTCTCTTATTTCTTCTTATTTGCCAATGTATTGAGTTATTGATTCTTTGGAAGTTATTAATCTTTTTCTTGAACTCCTTGTATATTCTAGATATTAAGCATTGCCCAACATAAAGCTGCTCTAAAGATTTTCTCCCATTCTTCAGAATGTCTTTTTAACTTACCTTTTTTTGTATGGTTTTTTATTGTTAAAATGCTGTACAGAGGGGTTACAGTTATATGAACAAGGTAATAAGTACATTTCATATTGAGCATTGTTGCCTCCTCCTTTGTTTAAACTTAACTTTTTATCTATGTCCTTTACTATTCAGAAACTTTTTAGATTGATGAACTCCCATTTGTCAACTCTCTTCCTTTTTTATTTTTGCCAGTCCTGAGTCTTGAGCTCTGGGCCAGGGCACTACCCCTGAGCTTTTGCTCAAGGCTAGCACTCTACCACTTTAGTGACAGTTCCACTTCCAGATTTTGGTAGTTAATTGGAGATAAGTCTCAGGGACCCTCCTGCCTGCATTGTCTTTGAACTACAATCCTTAGATCTCAGCCTCCTTAGTAGCTAGGATGATAGGTGTAAGCCACCAGTGCTCAGCTTTTCTCTCCTATTTGCTAAGCCCCAGAATTCTACTCAGGAAATTCCTTCTTATGCCAGTAAAAAGAAAAAAAGAGAAAATAACAAAAAACAAGCAAATAAAAATAAAACTTTCAGTAAGTATACATTCTGCCTCAAAATAGGGTATACATTGAAAAGAAGATTGGCAAGGATAGCTTCAAGGTATTAAGAGAATAAAGGATATAGTCATCCAGCCAAGTTAACTTCTTTTGCTTTTCTCCCAGAGTAAACATTCAACATGTGCCACTATTGAGAGGAGGAGGAGGAAAACAATCTTGATATCAAAGGAGGCATCTCTGGGGCCATGGAGGCTACATAGAGACAGAGGCCCATCACTTTCACAGTCCTGAGTGAATTTAACATCTTTGAGGATGAGGCAGAAGATTCATTTAATTTCTGAGACATTATCTTAAGAGATGCCATGGACTAATTGGGCTAATTCACACCATAAGCAAGTTAATTCACACCTTAACTAACTTCTTTTCCATTCACAGAGAAGACTTGACCCACTGGTATATTTTGCCTGTAGTCTATCACTTCCAAGAAAAATTTGCTCATCAAGAGGTTATGTATTAACTCTGGGCAATTTACCTGTAGTTTCCAGCTTGTCTTTTAATACAAATGCCAGCTATGAGCCAAAAAAAAAAAAAAAAACGCCCAGCAAGAACAAGAGGCCCTGGGTTCAAGCCTCAGTGCTCATATCTGGAAATAATTTGAAATGTTGAATTATTCTTTTCCATGTGGAATATTTTAGCTTCAAATGTTTCAAAGGAAAGCTGCAAGAGTGAGAATCTTGTATTTGCATGATGAGCAACCACAACCATCTTTCTAGAAACTGATAAAAAGGAAGGATTGGGAGAGAGAAGAGAGCTGGTGATGGTGAATTCTTGTCTCTAAATGCTTCTGGAACAAAATATTGGAGCCCTAAACCTCTGGAGCCTAACAGTGCTTCTCAGGAGCTTCTGTCTACCAAATAATTACACATTCCTGAACTCTCATTTCAGGCTAATGTGGGGAATCCCAAATTAAGATACCCTGAGCTCTCTTCACACCCCTAGGCCCCACCATCTATACTCATTCCTGATTTAAAGAAGCCTTATAAATGATCTTAACTGAAGACAAGTCTGCATTTGGAGCAAGGCCAGACTCTCTTCCCTGTTAGAATTCCAAATAGCCCAAATCTGCACAAGGGGTAATGATAAGAAAAAACTAAGAAAGCACGGGCAAAAGGGGGGCGTTAGGTCATAAAGCACTATTGGGTGGGATCCTATGGCATGGAGAAATAAATAAGGGAGCATTGAAGCAATTCTGTCTTTCTTCTTCTTTGTCCTGAAAGGTGCCTTCAGTCTTCCTGCCTTCAAGCGCAATGTTGGATGCTCTACTCCCCTTACGTACCTGCCCTTTATCTGCATCCTTTGAAACCAGCTTTTAGCCTCTTCTCTTTCCCACTCTTGATCTGTTGCAACCCCTTTTTCTTTAGCCAAAAAAGCTCTTGTGATGTCTCTATACAATGAGGAAGCCCTCATAGGGATCACACTGTATCATTTCAGATTCTACATTAATATGATACCTCTTGTAGTTGCTTAGTGATCAGCCTCTCTCCTGAAACTTCCATGGAACTGACTCATTCCTCATGAGAATTAAATTCCACTTTGAATTCTCTGAAAACAGGCTGTCTGTTTTTTTTAAACAACAACTAGGAATCAATTATTTTTCTGGCCCATCCTTTTAAGTCTCTTGCAACTTCAATTATTTGTTTATTACCAGATCCTTCTTTCTGTTTAAACATCTTCCTCACAGTCTGGCAGGCAGAACCATCTCCGAGGCACACCCCACAGCGGTCCTCTGTGGCATTGGAACCGATCTCATAGTCGCAGCCCACCACCTGTGTGGAAGACAGCATCTGGATGAATGACGTAGGGAGGAGTGGCCATGTCTACTTCAACCTGTGACTCCTTCCTTCTTTCACAAGCAAGGCCACTAGGATGAACATTTGTTCCCTGTCTTGTGGAGACCAGAAGAATAAACCAAAAGAATAAAATAAAAGAACAAAGCACTTGCCGGTGGTTAAGGAAACAGTCATCTCTCGATAGCCACAGGGAAATGGTTCCAGGTGAAATGAGATAATCAAATCCCTTACATGAAATGGTACAGCATTTGCAAATATCTACACACAATCTTCCTTACTTTAATTTTGTGTGTGTGAGCTAGTCCTGGGTCCTGGGTGCTGTCTCTGAGCTTCTGTGCTCAAGTTAGTGCTCTACTACTTGAGTCACTGCTCCACTTCTGACTTTTTTGATGGTTAATTGGAGATAAGTCTCAATATTTTCTGCTCAGGTTGGTCTGGCTTTGAACCATGATCCTCGGATCTCAGCTTCCTGAGTAGCTAGGCTTATAGGTGTGAGCCATGGGCACCTGACAACCTCCTTACTTTTAAATCCTTTCTAGATTGTTATAGTACCAAATATAATGGAAATGCCAAGAGTAGTTGCTATATTTTATAGTTGCAGGATTAATAACAAGAAAAACAAGTCTGTGTATGTCTGCTAGAGATAAATTTGTTATAATCCAGTATGGTTAAGTATATAAATAGGAAGCAGAAATGGAGAGGTGAATATACTTTGTGAGAAGGAAGAAAGACACAGTGAGTGAGGTCTTCACTTTTCCTTGGGTCAGTGGCGGAATTTCAAAAAACCTAATGACACAAATGCTTTTGAACTGGAGTTGGTGACACATCAACTCTCTTCACTTATACAACCCTCACACTCCCTTCTCTACTGAGAATTTCCAGGGATGATATGACTACTGTACCTGTGATTTGGTTATCTGGTGTCTGTACCTACCTCCCTGAAGTTACGCTTCTGAGTGTCTGTCTTAAGACAGTGGATAAGCCAGCAACCACTGGAGGAAACCTGTTTAATGGTGAGCTGATAAGGGTCCTAGCAAGGACCTACCATCAGACCCTTTAGAGTTTTCTATAATCCCATCTCCAGAGCACTTCACATGCAGCTACATCCCAGTCATCCTGACCTCCTTCTCTTCAACTATAGTGAAAACCTGGTATTGCTTCTCTGAACCCAAACTAAATTTGTTCCTATGCTATGGACCGAATCCATTCCCAGTGTTCTGTCTGTGGGGCCTCCTGAATCATCTTCCTCTGAACTTTCTCTTTTCTCTTGTCTGTCTGGATAATTACTTCCCATTCTTAAATCCCCAGCTTGAAAAAAAATTCAGTGTGTTGAAACATAGGACTTCCTGTAACAGATGCCAAAGAATCTTGACACTTAACATTGAAAGTTATGAAATGCATGTTAGCTTTAGTTAAATACTTCAGTGGCTTGCTTTCTAGTTCAAAAGACACCTGAAATCTACTGAAAGGAAAATGGATTTAACCTAATATTCCAGCCATCTAAGCAGAGAATCAATGCCTACTGACATAAAATTTCTTAATTCCACAGGCTTACCATCTCCAATTTTCCTCAGTTGGTGAAAAACTTGCTAAAATGACTTAATTATATAATCACAATGAAAACAGAAATGTCTTAAGATAAATGCTTGTAGTGGCTTGCAATAAAATGCCAAGCTTTCACACAAGTGATATGTTTATGTCAAGCTTGAACATCCTCTAATAAGCTGACCTTTTGAATCATATTTCCGCTGACCTTAATTCTTCCACTGATTTGGAGCAAGTCATGGAAACTTATTCTGAGACATATTAATTATAAGGAGTTCTTTAATTTTTATCAAGAGAGAAACAGATTACAAAGATGAAGGAAAATCCTGGACTATGAATCTCTGGAGTCTAGTCTTTTCTTCCTGAATGAGTGATCCTATTTCTACAGTAATATTAGCCCAGGTAATTGAGGGTCCAGGGTTGGAAGAGGTAGAGACACACAAGCTCCCAATGTGCTATTCAATTTAATTACATGGATTCTTTTGAGACCTCACCCATTTTACTGTATGCACTCCATCTTCTGTGCACAGCACAATAAAGACTGAATTTAATATTTTTAATAGAAAGTCTAGGAATAAAGCCACTAATACAACCATGTTTACTGTAGCACTAATCACCATAGTCAAAGTACTAAATCAAGCCAGATGTCCCTCAACAGATGAATGTGGTACATCTTTGGTACATATACACAATGGAGTTTTACTCATTCATTAGAAATATTAATACTGTATCTTTTGCAGAGAAATGGAAGGACTTGGAAAAAATTATGCTAAGTGAAGTCAGGCCCAGAAAGACAACTGTTGCATGTTTTCTCTTATATGTGGAAACTGGAGTTAGTTTATAAACATGTAAGTAAATACAGTGGGTGGTATGCAGTGCATACAAATGTAGTAAATGAAATATATTGGATTCAAAGGAGAACTAAAATAGTGTAATTCCTTAGGAAGGCAAAGCCAAAGTTCCACAAAATAAATGCCATAAAAGGGATATTTGAAAGGGATGGGGTGGAGTCAAGGAGAGAGGGTTACATGAATAAAGCAGTGGGGGAGGATGCAGTCAAGAATCCAATGCATATCTCACAAAATTTAGAAAAAGGAAGGGTTAGGTTGGGAGGGATGGGTGTGAGGGTGAAAGGATGACTTTGTGATCAGTAACTGGCTGAAGGCCTCCAGCCCATCTTCCTGGCCCCTTGCTAGCATTTCTAACCAAACTCTGATTCTCTGCTGCTGGACAGCCAATCTGGTCTCCATATCTGAAGAGACTGGATTGAACCTAGGATTCCCGGCTATTTGACCTTGTTTTGTAGTGATGGCGGGTGGTTTGTTTTCTTCCCCACAGAAAGTAAGGACTTACTTTTTATATCTGTAACCTTTGACTTTCTGCTAATACAGACACTCAAATAAATGAAGGAGATTAAAAAGGCTGAAAATAACTATAGTCAGGATCTTGGAAAGATAACGTAGATAAGCTATCCGATATATTTAATTGACATCATTGTTTGAGCTTTAAAACAGTGTATTATAGACAGAAAATGGGAAATTACAGCTTCTAAAATTTTTAAAAAATTTTTTATTTTTCTTACCTTTAAATAGCTGTATAACGGAATGTCAGTTCAACATGTTCACTGCATCTAGCTCAACAACATTCCTTCCAGAATTCTTCTGCTATTTATCCCAACCCCACCCAACCCACCAAGTTACATAGTTTTATTTTCATATATGTACTTTGAGTATTATGACTGTATTTGCTTACCATTCCTTTCTCCATTTGTTTGCCTCTCTCCTTTTAAGTTCCACCTGCCTCTCAAACAAAACTTGTTTTATCTTCCTGGTATTGAGTTAGTTTAAAAAAATAGTAAATTGTTCGTAGTAGTTCTACCATGGGAATCCATGTTTCTGTATGCCATACTTTAGTCAGCTTGATTTTGTATACATGCACGTGGCCCTGCATGTTTGTACTTTAGATCCAGCTCCCACATATGAGAGAAAACATGAACCCTTTGTTCCTCTGAGACTTATTTCACTTAACATGATTTTTCCAGGTCCATGGATCAAGAAAATGTGGTATATATGTACACACACACACACACACACACACACACACACACACAATGAACCTGGTCCTGAAAGGTCCTAACTGTCCCAGACAGAGGAAAGCCACTGCGAGAATCTTCTTTATTCTGTTATGCCCATTTAATTGATTTCAGTAGTGACAGCCAAAGCTCCTTACATTTTGTTCCAAACACTGCTCTTCATAGGCAAACTAAAAATGTCCTGTCTACACATGCAAACTAATTTCAGCCTAAAGAATAATGTTATCATCACATTAATTTCTAGATAACTACAGTTCTCAGCAGTAGTTACATATATTAATAACTTGAAATATTTCAAAATATCAGTGCTGCTGCTCTTGTTAAATCCCTGAAATAATTTATGCTGCATTTTCCTAATAATGCCCCTTTTCACTTAGCTCGTCAATTTGACTCTTCTCTATGCCTAAAACAATATCATCACCAACAAATCTATATGTGAAAACATTAGCAAGAAGAACAACACTCTTCAGGTCAAAACTCTGACTCTAATGAACTCTGAGATGTGTGGGCTCATCTCCCAGACCCCAGTGAATTCCAGGAAAGCAAAGCTGAGAGTGTCTAACTTCCTAAACTAACAAAAGCCAAGATTTTATAAAGTTATAGATGAAGGAAACATACCCAATACCTTACATATGCCATTAATACAGACATTTCTGCTGTTGCCACCTTCGAAGCAAGGGGTACCATCAATGACCGCGTCCAGCATTTTCTCTGAGAACCGGCCATCTATGGGTCGGCAGTAGAGCTCACAAGGGCGTGCTGAAGTGAGAAAAACACAAGTCCTTGTAAGTTAGCTTTTCAGTTCAGGTCCCCTACTCCATGATCTTTTTACATTCATGGCCCATCGGTGCTCTTTGACCTATATGGATATCTGGGTATCCAGGCTTTTGCCCTTCTGAGACCCATGCTAAAATAACTGACTTCTTCCTTCCCTCTTCCCTCCCTCCCACTCTCTTTCTCTTTCTCCTCCTTCTTTCCTTCCTTCCTTCGTTCCTTCCTCCTTCTCTCTCTTCTTCCCTCTTCCCTTCCTCCCTCTTCCCCCCTCCCTTCTTCCTTCCTTCTCTCTTTTCTTCCTGCCTTCTTTCCTTTCAGGTAAGAATTTTATAACTTAAATTTCAAAACTCTGTATGCCATTTGCTCTAAATGCGGACATCTTTTCATCTAACATCTAGTGTTAACCAAGAAAATAATACCAGTGATGCAGGATTTAGGCAAACCTGAGGCCTGCTCATTGTTAGAAGTAAAGTAAGTAAATGTCCAGTGTAAAAAGTGGAAGCCAGCCTGTGGCTTATTAGAGTAGTCCTTCCTATTACCTTGGGTCCTACATGGAGCTGTTTAAGGTTCAGTTTTCTACTCCCTTTATGAATAAACACAGAATGATAGACTGCATAGGAACTGTTAATAGACACGCATACATATGTATGTGGAATAGCCAGAAAGATTCAGAACTTTTAAAGCATAAATTACTGTACATGTTTTAATCGATTACACATGTATATAAGAATTCAAATGGCACTGGGCACCGGTGGCTCACACCTGTAATCCTAGCTACTCAGGAGGCTGAGATCTGAGGACCACGGTTCAAAGCCAGCCAGGGCAAGAAAGACCGTGAGACGCCTATTTCCAATAAACCACTAGAAAACCAGAAGTGGCACTGTGGCTCAAATGGTAGAGCACTTGCCTTGAGCTGAAGAGCTGAGGGACAGCGCCCAGGCCTAGAGTTCAAGCCCCATGACTGACACACACAAAAAAAGAATTCAAATAGCACTTTTCTTTTTAATGTTTTATTTTTCTTTAAGTGAAAAACTTCAGAATTACCCCTTTAGGCAAGTCTTTTTGGGGGTCTGTTTATTTAGGGTAGGGGTATTAGATTCTAGGTGCTGTGACCAGCTGAGGGTTCAGTGATACTAGCTAAAAGAAGAAAGGTAGCTGGGTGCTGGTGGTGCGTGCTTGGTATCCTAGCTATTCAGAAGCCTGAGATCTGAAGATCATAGTTTGAAGTCAGCCTGGGAAGAAAAATCCCCGACTATTATCTCCAGCTAAAAGCAAAAGCTAGAAGTGGAGATGTGGCTCAAGTAGTAGAGCACCACCTTTGACTGAAAAGCTAAGCACAAGTGTGAGGACTTGAGTTTAAGCCCCAGTACTGGCATTACAAAAAGAAAGGAAGAAAGAAAAAATGAAGGAAGGAAGAAAGGAAGGAAGGAAAGAAAGAAGGAAAGAAGGAAGGAAAGAAGGAGAAAGAAAAGCAAAAAAGAAGGAAGAAAAGAAAAAAAAGCAAAGCAAAATAAGCCAGACTCAGAAAGACAAAAAACACATATTTTCACTCATAAGCAGAATCTTGATTTTTTTAAAGACACAAAAGTAGCAAAGGGATAATTTGGGAAGTAGAAGGTGAACAGAAGGAAGGGGAAAGGGGGCAAGAGGGAGAATATGACAAAAGTACACTATATTCATATATGAAAATGCCATCATGAGCCGGGCACCGGTGGCTCACACCACCAGTGTGATGCTAGCTACTCAGGAGGCTGAGATCTGAGGTTCAAAGCCAGCCTGGGCAGGAAAGTCCGTGAGACTCTTATCTCCAATTGACAACTAGAAAACTGGAAGTGGAACTGTGGTTCAAGTGGTGGAGTACTCGCCTTGAGCTGAAGAGCTCAAGGATAGCATCCAGGCCCAGAGTTCAAGCATCACGACTACACACACACACACACACACACACACACACACACACACACACACACACACACACACACACACACTCACACACACGAGAAGAAAATGTCATCATAAAACCGATTGTAATAAACATATACTAATAATTTTTTAAGGCAAAAAACCACATTGACTTTTTGTAAGATACACTAGCTATGTTGCCTAGGAAGACAAAGTCAAAATGAGTTGAAGAGATAATCAGACAAAATGCCAGTGGAAAAGGACCAAAGACTGATGATAAAGCACAGCTTGGGTTAATTGTAAATCTCCTTTCACTGCAGTGTAATTAGCCTAATCACTGCCCAAATCTGAATAGATGTACTGAGAGAAAGCCACCTGGGAGCAATTCTGTTCTTCCAGGGATGAGAACATCCACATAGGTACTGAATCGAGAGAATCATTCATTAAGACTGATGTGAGCTTTGGAATTCAGATTTAGTATTTTGTATTTGGACACAGAAGCAAAAAAGGAAAGCATCTCTGGATAATTCTAGAACTTTCCTTAAAGAAAAGATCTTCATCAAAGCTGCTGTAAAGGTCTGAGACTGGGACTGGGCAAACCAAGAATGAAAAAAATGGAGGGAGATACTTGCTTTGAGGGTTATACAAGTGTCCTCATGGCCCATAGTCCTCCAGCCAATAGCAATACTGCACCGAATTCCAGAATGCTCAGGTTCTAGTGTTTGTCTTGCTTTTGATTTTTTGACAGATATAACAGATTTTTTGAAAGATATAACTATTCGGAGAGGCTTTTGGTAGTCTTGTTTATATAGTGAATTAAAAGGAATATGGTTTGGGGGCTGGAAGGGTGGCTCAGTGGTAGAGTGCTTGCCTCTCATGCATGAGGCCCTGGGTTCGTTTCCTCAGCACCACATAAAATAGAAAAGGCTGAAGTGGTGCTGTGGCTCGAGAGAGCTAGCCTTGAGCTGAAGAACTCAGGAACAGTACCTAGGCCCAGAGTTCAATCCCCACCACTGACAAAAGAAAAAAAAGAAAGAAAAGAATAAAGGCATATGGTTTGTTAAGAATAGTAGCTAGCATATTCTTCAAGCATTAGTTTCCAATGGTTGTTTTGCTCTATGATAGTTCGTTTGGACAATCACAACCCTACTATACATTTAATTCTTTTATTACTTGTTTCATAGATGAGAAAATTAAGCATGGGATATGAAGTCTCTCAGTATAAACTGCAGAGCTAATCCGTTAGAGTCTCATTTCAGAGCTCAGGCACTATATTTTAGTAAAAGACAGATATCTTTGATGAGATCTTTAAAGTGATCATTCTTTGTATTATTTGTTAATGCTTTTTTTAATAGATCATGGCATGACTATATCAAGCAAATTTGGTGTCAAACCAGATGGACCACATTTTAATTCAAAGCTTATTCTCTATGGGGCCTGAGTATAGGGAAAAGGCTAAATCTGGGATGAGTGACTTTTACAGTGGGCAGATTGAAAAGTTTTAGTTCAGACAGGTACAGTTGGTTCACACCTATAATCCTAGCTACGCTGGAGGTTGAGATCTGAGGATTGTGGTTAGAAGCCAGCACAGGGTGATAAATGAGATTCTTTTATTATTATTATTATTATTGTGAGAATACGGTACAGAGGAGTTACAATTACATGGGCATGATAACGAGTACATTTCTTATCAAGCATTGTTGCCTCCTCTTTGTTTCCCCTTCCCATCCCTTCCCATACTCCACCCCTCCCACCTACCCGGACCTCCCCTCCCCCTCTCCCACCTTCCACCAAAGTTGTAAAGTTCATTTTTCCACATAAAGACTTGTACATCTTATTGTTGCAATGGGTCCACCTGTATCCCTAGTTAAATGATTTGTTTTTTCCCTTCCCCTCCACAAATTATACCAACATCAAATACAGTGAAAGCATAGGTTATACCGTGGGGGAGGGACATACAAAGCATCAAAGAAATCATCTTATAAATACGTTAGAAACAATTGCATGAAAGGAAACAAAAAACAAAAAAACATTTGATAAGTGAGACTCTTATCTTCAATTAGCACCAAAAAAGCTGGAAGTGAAGCTGTGACTCAAGTGGTAGACTGGTAGCATTGAGCAAAAAGCTCAGGGACAGTGCCTAAGCCCCGCCTTTAAGCTCCAGGCCTGGCACACACAAAAAAGTTTTAGTTCATGAAAATCTAATAGTACCTTGGGAAAGTGACACAATCTTTCTATGACCCTATTTCTTTATCTAAGAAACAGGAATAGTAACAAAGGGCTGTGAGAATTAAGGCAGAGATCAATCATATGTCAAGCATCTTGCGCTGTGATGTATATACAGTTAGTGTTTAACAAATGACAGCTATTAATTTCACCTCAGTATGAACTTTAGGAATTCTAAAGGTCCCTGTATACTTGACATCTTATAAATCTATCACTCCAATCTTCTCAAATAGTTAAAAGACTAATCCTGGCTTAGTTCTCATTTCAGTCAAAACAACAACCACAAACATCCTGAAATAACTCTTTCCATCCAATTGATGACATTTCCATGCAAATTATGGCACAATACCATTACTAAACAACTCAGAACTAAACTGATACTTTGTTTTACTGCTTTCTAATGAACTGGTGTTTTGTCAGTTTAGCGTAAAGAATCCAGATCCTGCTCAGATAGCGGGTAGTTCCATAGCTTTCTTTTATCACTGCAAGATACTCCAATTATACAGTAACTACTGAGCTCTTCTCAGGCTTGCAGTTCTGAGACTCTGGATTTTACAGGTTCCTCAATCAGATTGCAATGTCCTCAAGGGTGATCAAGTCCTTTGCTGGTCAGTCAGTGACTATCAACAACAGAGTCTGGGAAAGAAGAGTCAAAATATACTCAGAAGCTCAATGCAACAGTAGTCAAACAAGGTATCAACTGAGATGTCCAACAACAGAAAAATGGATAAAGAAAATGTCCTCTTTTCCTCTTTTGTGTTTTTGGATCAGTGGACATAGCTCTGAGTGAGACAAGCCAAGCTCAAAAAGCAAATATATATTTTCTCATGTGTGAAAGGTAGACAGATCTAAAAGGGGTA